TGGGCACATGATCAGGGAAGCTGTAGAGAAATAAACACGATCTATTTCAAACAATACCAACCTCACTGACAGTCCCACCTCAGAAGTTTTGTTTCCAACAAGTCTTCTAAATGTGTACTGTATCATGTGTTATTACTTGTGTCTCACCTCTGTAAAACCCCATTTCAGTTCCTTTGACCATCTGAAACACACTTTTAAAAGCCCAGTTCTTAACAGGTAGTTCTAAATTTTTTAAGTAATGATTAAATGGAATAAATTTTGCCTCCATTGAAAAAACCATCCCCAATCTGAAGAAAGAGTCCTTTAGGATTCCTTTCATTAAGATGTTATCATTTGTCCTCCAAAACATGAAAAATATACATAACCCCCCCCTCCACTTTTCTATTAATTATTACTATTAATTGTTCATTATTACCCTCTTCTCTTTCCTGTGTCCTAGACACAGTTATTGCTTTGTGTTCACAGTGACAAACTGACTCTCCTCAGCCTTAAGGCTTCCTCCACATGGATTAAAAAGTGAAAACCACAATTGGAGGAAAATTCTAGTATGTTCCTAAGTTTCAAATGCAGCTGTAGAATCCTCTTTTTACACAGAGATAAGAGAACCTGTTCTCTATGGTTTATCTTGGTCTTCTGGCACTTACAAATATTCCTGTTGTGAAGCAGATGGTTTCCCTGGCACGTCTTGGGGTTTCCCTGAGAATTCAGCTTCTACTTGTTCCTTGTGTGCTTGCCTCAGAAGCTCAGCCATGGACACGTCTGCCTCGCTCCTGGGAGTGCTGTCCTGGAACGGGGAATAACTGACAGACACGTCTTCCTCGGAGACCAGAGGGGGGTGCTCGGTTGGCTCGCTGTCCTTGGATATTCTCTGCTGCTCTTGCTTGTGTCTCGAGCTGTACACTTCCTCTTGCAGTGTCCGTGTGCATTGAAAATCCCCGGGCGCAATATGTGACCTGGAGCTCTTGAACTCCTTGAGTGGGAGGGGACCTGGCCTCTAGGAGTAGCCCAAGGAAGGCTGGATTGCTGCTACTGTGGCCAGATTTAGACACTAACAGACAAAATAGCATTTAGCCAGAAATTTACCTCAAGTAATTGTGCCCAAAACCCTCCAAGTATAGAAGAAGATTCACAAAATATTTTTTTTCCAGCTGATTAAGGATAGATTTTAGTGACTCGTCCCTTCCATATCTGTTATGCATCTGCTTCTGGGAAAATTAAATGTATGAGAAAAGATGAAAACACTTCCTACAGGGCTAGGTACAAGAAGCAGCTCACTGATGTGCCAGATTCACTGGAAACCTGGTGAACTCTGAAGAATAAATTGGAGGGAAACAGGAAAGCTTGTATGGAATTTGAGCTGGATGGAGAGGTTAACATTCTGAAACTACTTGGCTGTGATATGAGAACGCTGACTGCAACAAACAGCCTTCTATTCCTACATTCTCCTCAAGACTGGGACCTCTGCAGCTGCCTAATATGTTTCAATATTGAGTTAGGCACACAAAAGCATCACTTCTGGAAAAGAGGATTCTGTACCAAATAAATTTGGAGGTGTTTCTTCATTTCGCAACCACTGGATCTAATCCAATGAACTTTCAAACTTAGGAAATGCAATAGCATCCTAACAGAATTACCATATCCTGGATATTCAGATCCAAATGGGTGTTCTGTCAAAGCACCGAGCAGTTTTCCTTTTTAATATCTTGGTCAAATTCTAATAAAACCTTCTGAACTTTCATGAAAGCACTTGTATAAGCAAAAAAACCCCAAACCCCAAGGTAAACTGGGAAAACGTTGCTGGCCACAGCGTTTGCTTCTGAAGAATCAGCTAGAGCGCAGATCTTCTACCTTGTGAAATGTGACCCCTGTGATGCCGTGTTTGCATCCCCCCACACTGTCTGTGCTTTCAAAATGGGATTCCTGTGCTTTGCCACGAGAGCTGAGAGATGAGCCTGGGCCAACCCTTCGGAACAGAGTGATGCTTAGAGAGGTACCCTGGGTCAGGAGCCACTTACCTTCACTGTGGTCCAATGCCAAGGACTGCTCCGTGTCGGCGTAGGCGCGCGTGCCGTGGCCCTGCACGGGGTCTATGCCACTGGTCTCCATCAGGTGAACGATGTCCATGCGGTTGATTTTCGTGAGACATTGGGTCAGGTTGGTATCTGTGCCATTGGAACGACAGAACAGCTTGGTTAACAATCAAGCACGCTCCCTCCCTTCTCCATAGGAAGGGCGTATATAGGGGACTGACTGGTATCATATATAAATTACAGATACATTTAGAAGCAGTGCTATATAAAACCTAACAAGCACCAAGTGGCTGCCTACAAAATCTAGCGCTCCGTTTTTTTCCTTTTAACAAATTCATTGATTTGCTGTGTTTCACAGAAAAGACTAGAAACAACATTGAGTGCAATCCCTGGTCATCCTTTCTGTAGCCTCAATTTCCCCCAAATTTTCTCTGTGATTACAACACACACCTGTCACCTCAGCTAGCAGACTGGAGACAGTTACACACAACAACTGGAGACAAACCTGTTGCATGTTTCCCATCTCTTTCAAGCCAGTATTTGAGGAGTGCGTGGCTCTGGTCTTGAAGCGAGTTGGGATTTTCAATTCGGATCTGGTGAATTTGCTCCTCTGTGAAGTCCAGCTCTCTTGCTAGCTCTGAAAAAGAAATCCACCTCTGTAAAGAGGTCTGCTGCTACTACCACTACCACTCCTTGGTCTAATTTCATTCAAAGAAAAGTAAATGTGAAATATCATTTAACCCCAAAACCTGAAAAAACATTGCATCTCGTTCCACGCCACTTTCACTTGTCTCCACTATCCTTCGCTGCCTCAAGTCTGTTAAATCCACAATATTTAAATGGCTGTTTAGAACAGGCTCCTTGTTAACACATTAAGGACTCTCAGTATCCCAAAGACAATGAGCTTCTGAAATATTTTTATGAAACATCTTTAGATAATCAGAAAATCATCCAAAATAAACACGATGGGATTGTGGGCCATTCCCCTCCTTGCTCTGGCGCAGACAATGTGCACTTTACCTGTCCAGCTGAATCCAAGATGATCTGCAATGTGGGCCAGTCTTTCTTCTGTCCTTTCCTGATCATCCTGTTGATCTAAAGGTCAAAGAGAGCTACAAGTTGCCTTTTGCAAGTTAAAAACCATTTCCATAGGAGAGAGAGCCCAAGAAGGGAAAGCCCTAGTCTTTTCATAACTGCTGTGTCTAAACACGGACAAGCTGCGTAATTCAAGTGAGGCCTGTAAATGCCTAAGTCCAAAATGAAACCAAAAAGCTTGGTTTTTTAAAAAGCACAGGACTATCTAGTTTTGCTATCTGAAAAACAGGCATTCACGTGAAAATAAAATCTAAGACTGAAGCACCTACTGTGTCTACTTTGGCCAGGCTTTTCTACTCTAAAACTTCATTTTAATGTTCAGTTGAAGACTGACTAAGTCAAGAGCCATAGTTTTCCATGCCTCCTTAGTAAATGCCAGGGTTCAAGAATTCATTGAGCTCAGTGCTCCTGATCACGTTCTTTCTGTTGTAGGGCAAGTTTTGTTCAAACAGTCCATACATCACTTCAGATTATGGTCTGCACGTGAGATACTGCTAATTTCAGTGTCTTTGACCCTTTGGACGGGGAGTGAGACAAAATACTGACAACGAAGGCAAGGAAAAATCAGATAGTCATTCGTCAGTCCTCATTCACTTCACTAATGGTGAGGCTGACGGCTCCTCCCATCCCCAGAGCTAATTTGAGGATGGTGGAATTTGAGTTTTGATTTTCCCTGAATGCACACCTGGATTGCGACACCTCCAAATCGGGAAATTGCTTAGGGTTCGTGATATGCACGCGTCATTCCGGCTCCTGATTTCCATTAGGGCTACTCAGTACTAGCACACAAACAGGCGAGAGGAAAACCAAGCACCAGAAAAGGTGTACTAAAGTTACTGGTGACTCAGAGTTTCCTGCAGACACAGACTGTCAGAAAAAAGGAATGTAAAAAGCTTCCTTCTTCATAACTCCTGCAGATCTCTTTTGTGTACCAACTCAAAAGTATAAATTTGCCCATCTCGCTTTCAATTGACGCCCCGAGCATTTTATTATTAGTAGCAGTTAATAGCTAGTAATAGGGCCAGGGAAAGTCAAAAGCCAAAACGTGCATGACCTAAGCAATCAGTTTAATGACAAAACCATACATATCTCTAGAAGTGTTTTTGCTTCTTAAGGTAACACTTCCCATAAGCATTTATGGTTTGCAATCTTGAGATCGTTTCACAGACAAGAACACAGACACAAAACAAAAAAACCCAAACACAGCTCACAAGGGGAAAAAAAATAAAAGCACAACTAACCACCAAAAGCTGAAAAGAAAATGCCACACGCATTACACCTGTACACAAACGCACACGCACGCACACACCAAAGAAAACAAAAAACAAAAGAGTTTAATTCATGACATGCGTCGCACAGGGAATCCCAGTCGTTGGCAAATACCTTCAGCACGGTCATGGGCATTTTCGTCAGGGATACGTTCAATCTGAGTCTCTACAGACTCATCCCAAATGGGTCTGATGTCAAAGATGTCTTCAGGAACTGACTGCTGAGTCTCACTGGATGGCACATTTTCAATAACTGAAACTTCTAGGGCGCTACTGCTTTCATCATCTGAAACTAATTCTTGTTCTCTCTCTGACTGCGTGAGTCTTTCCACTAATTTAGAAGCTTCGTCACTAATTTCTTCAAAAAACTCTATGGAGTTTTTATAAAGATCAAAAAAATGGTCCTTACTTTCTTTTGTGGGACTAAAAGCACCGCGGGAGCCTGTAGCGCTTCTGCTTTTAACTGGCAACCGTGAAGAAAATACCTTCGATCTTGCTGTTGTTGCCTCATCTGAGTCTAGCTCAAACTTCATCTCGCTCTCCCTCTCCCTGGCCTCTGCCTCTGCCTCAGCATAACTCCTAGCTTTGATGGAACGTTTGGTCTTTGGGTCCACGGGGCTACTGGCGTCGGATTCCGATTTACTGCGGCTGTCTGGCTTTGCAGGGACCGCGCTCGTCACGTCGAGCGCTTTGGGTGACTCTGGCTTGCGGACGGACGTGTCCGCGTACGAGTGTTGTGGTTCGGCTTTTTGGAAAGCGGTTTTCACGGGAATTTTAGACTTTGGTTTCGCTGGGTCATCTTTCCCTTCACACTGCGAACTGTCCAGGAAGTCATCCGGGGAAAGGCTCTCGTTTTCTGACTGTTGTGAGGATTGCGATGTGGCAGCAGCTGTTCTTACAGGGATTTTGGATTTGCTTTCACAAGAAGGCACACTCTCCATTAGAGCAGTGGGGATTTCAATCACAGATCTCTGTTCCTCTGGGGAGGAGTCTGGGGACTCAGCACCCTGTTCAGAACTAACCAATCGAGTGACTTTGGAAAAACCGAATTCATCTTCTGCCGCACACTGCTCGGGAGAGATGGGGCAAGGCACCTGACTGCTATCGACCGTGTCGGTCTCCGTTGTGGAGAGGGGCTCAGCTTCAGAGGCAGCGGTTTCTTTCTTTGGTGATTTTGAAGAAGCTGAAATACCCATTTTAATTGGAATTCTGGATTTAAGATCTGCTTTCGCAGTGCCTGCGCTGGCACCTTCACCCGTCATTTCTTCAGATCTATCACTAGACTCGGGCGATGGGGGTGAATATTTCAACGCGTCTTGCTCTTGTATATCTGTCTCCTCTGACTCTGAAGGTGCAAATGGGTCTGGCAAGTCCTTCAGCTTGGGAGATTCCGCCTCTGCTGCTTCTTTCACTTCTTCACATAAAGAAACTTCTTCCTGAGGCTCCTGCCCTACCTGGAAGAACTGAAAGCTTTCATCTGGGTAGTTCCTTTTGGTCATGTCAATGGCTCCACTTCTAGTCATCTCAAACAACTTGCCTTCCTGAAAAAGAAAAGGATTTTGTTCACTGAGTGGCGTCCCTTCTTCGGTGGGTGTCCGGGCTGGTGTCGTGTCAGGGGTTGTGCCTTGGGATCGCCTGTCTACCATCAACCCAAAGATCTTTTGTTCCTCTTCTTTCACCCGAGCTTCAAAAGCTTCATCGTCTTCACGTATTTCGCTCCACATGTCAGAATCCACATCGGTTCTAGTGATGACAACCTGACCCATCAATTTCTGTGTTTCATCTCTTATATCCTCAAGGGCAGATTCAGATAATTTTGTTGAATCTGAGGTCAGAGACCCTTGTGACATTGTCTGAAATCCATCCTCTGGTTTGGGTGCTATTTCCATGTACACCTCCTCTGAAGAACAACATTCACTGCCCGTGTCTCTGCTAAGTAAAGCTTCACCAGTCTGATCTTTCCCTTCTGCAATAGAACAGGTTTCCCTAGATAGCAGACTTCTACCAGATCCTACCTCACTTTCAGAGTCAATGAAGAAATGTCCGGAAGACACATTTTCATAAGGGCTCACTATATATGGAGCGCCACCGTCAGCAACATCTGCTGCACAGCTGTCAAGTTCCACTGTGTCAGCGCTTAGGGATGAATACTCTGGTAAGGGCTCCTCAGCATGACCAGCCCTGTGAGATGTCTCACAGCCTGTATCTGCTTTCCCCAAATCCCTTGCCGAAGCAGAATGGTCAGTGGTGTCACCTTCGGCCAGTTTGCCATCGCGTGGAACAAAGTACTCGGTGGTACCGTGTCCACGAGAACGACCACCTGCCTCCTCTGACACAGCTCCCGCAGAAATGAGATCGCTGCTTGGTAACGGGGCTGCGGCTTTGACATCCTTTGCAGTAGCATCGCACCGCCCCATCGTTAGTGAAGACTCGGCGTGAACCTGTGTTTGACAACAGTCACCGACAGAGTGACAGGGAGCACACCCAGATGGTGTGACCGGGGCGTCGGGACTGACCGTCTCACAGTCACCTGTACCATCACAACACGTTGATGCCGTGCTTTCTGCTGGTGCACAACCATCGGAAGGACAAGTGCCCGTGGAAGGCTTACAGCTGCGCCCAAGGATAAGCGGCTCCTCTTTGTCACCTTCACCTCGTGCTTTAACCTCACCTATCCCGACAGAGCATGGCTGGGAATCAATGGGTTGGAAACCTGCTTCGTCAGGGCTAGAGCTGGAGTCAATACTAGATGGTAAAGGTGAGGGTGGCTGCACTCGGATCACAGGCTCCATTAAGAGGCCTGAGTCAGCTTCTTTTTTGAGCCGAGTCAATTCAGGCTCGCTTTCGGAAGAGGAAGAACTCTTTCTAGACTCAGCAGCAGGTGCCACCACCGTGGGTATGTCTTTTTCTACTGCAGCAGTCGGCTCTGATCTTTTAGCCTCACGTGAGGCTTCTGAATTGGCAACCACAGAAGATTCATCTTGCTTACAACTCTTTTTATAATCTCTTTTCTGCTTTGCTTCTTGTTCCAATTCATCGAACATTTTGATTTTGGTCACCATTTTAAACATCTCTTCTTCAGGGGTGAATCTCTTCTTTGGTTCACTTTCCGAATCGTCCTCCGGTTCTTCGTTGACTTCAGGGATGGTGGCTGACTTGGGTATGTCTGCCATTTTAGGTGTGATTTCATAGCTAATTTCTTCCGAACTAGGAGTTTCGGGGGACACTGGGCTTTTCCCTGAGCTCTCCATGAGGGATGTTTGCTCTAGACTGTCGTCATCGGCACTTCCCTCAGGGTCACGGAGAATCCTGGAACGCACCGATGCCAGCTCTGGGCAGGCTTCTGCTTTGCTAAGAACAGACGGAAGAGGACCCTGCCCCAAAATACAAGCTTTCACTGTTGGTTCTACGGGGCTGCTTTCAAGGGAATCGCGGCAGGGGGACTCTTTCATAGGGCTGGGCTCCAAAGAGTCAGGTGTTTTGTGTGATGAGTTATCTTCTAGCACTGGGCTTGCTTCCAGGGAGTCTTTATGACTTATAGTCAAAGAGTCATCTGCAACTGGGCTAAAGGCTTCACTATCATGGCTAGCAAGTGAAAGTTCCAATTTCTGGGGACTTCTAACTGTAAGACGGCGTTCACAGGCTACATCTTTTTCTTTCTCTAAAGCAGTGTCATGTGTTTCAGAAGACTTAGTGAAATGTGCAGTGGTTCTGGATTCTTTATCCCTGCTAATATCTTTCATAATGGAAGCTGAGCTACTTCCTTTAAGTTTATCAGCCTCTTCTTCAGAGGCTGGAGGTACATGCTCTTCTGATATATGGTCAGAATGAGACTCACTAGTCTTGGTAACAGCATCTAGCTGCCTCTCAGTAATACCTTTTTCATCTTCCTTTGAGGAGAGTTCCTTCGTAGAACGTGTTTCTGCTGTTGTTTGTACTTGAGCCGCTCCTTTGGCATCTTCAATTTGCCCATCAGTTTTCTTTGGTGAGAATGAAAGACTTTCTGGGCTCGTTTCAGGAGTCTCTGCCAGACCCTCATGCTTGTAACTTTCCTCTGAGCTGATCTGAGGGGTTCCGTCAAGGAGGCTGCCTGGAGAGTCAGCCACACCTTCGTGTTTAAGGCTCTCTGAGCTCCCCTCAAGAGCAGCACTCTGCAGAGAAAGAGCAGGAAGGAAGCCGTCTTTCCCGTACTCTGTGGGAAAAGCAGCACCGAAAGGACTGGTCAGTACTTGCTCCAAGTTAAGCTCTCCCTCCTCAGTCACTGAGAGGTGTCGGAACTGCTGGTATTTGTCATTATCCTCCAGTTCTTCTTTAATGACATCAGAGAAGTCTGTTGAGGTTTTCCTGTCAGGGCTGATCTGGAAGTCAGGATCCCCCTGATCATCAGGAGTCCTGCCCTTCCCAGCTGCCGTTTCTTTGGCACTTTCAGCAACTATTACCGGAGGGAGAGGTTCAGTTGGCTTTTTGCTGCTCTGCTCTTTTACTTGATCTTTGCCACCGGCTTTCTTGGCAGTTTCGATGGTGGAAGTTTGTGTTTTTCCTTTCTTTGATTGTGGCTCTTTCTCTGCTTTTGACACCGTGCTCGGTTTGTCCTTCTGTTTGTCTGTCTTGAGGTTTGACACTCGCCTCGTTTCACTCTGGGAAGGAATCGTTTTCTTGCGGGGAGTTTCCTTCTCAGGAGCCTGTTGCTTCTGTTTGACAGATTTGTGCTCAAAGAGTCCGGAAATGTTCTTGGACGGGTCTTGCCCCGACTGGAAGGCTTTCATCAGTTCCCGAACGGACATGGTCTCTTCGAGTCTCTCCGTCTTGGATGAAGGCGAGACGGGCGGCTGGGCTTTGTGCGCTACCGGCTTCTTGACCTGCGCTGGTTTTTTAGGCGCCTTTTCGGCAGGCCCTTCTTTTGCCTGAACTCTGACGGGCAGTTTTGACCGTACTTTTTGCTCGTCTTCCACTCGTTTCTGAAGAGCTTTCACTTTATCTTTTATCGAGCCAATGGGAGTTTCCTCGATTACAGGGGACACGGCTTTAGGCTCCGGAGCACCTGTCACCTTTAGGCCAGGCTCCCCAGCCGGTGCCTCGTCTGCAGTGAGCTTGGGCAGCCTCAGTTTCTCTCCGCTGCTGTTCACTTTGCTTTCCTTTGGCTTTGGCTTTTCTTTTAGTTTTGTCCTAAGGGGCTTTTTAACTTCTGAGGCTGCCTTCTGTTGCTCCTGTGAGCTTGGTTTCCCAGTTTTTGGAGATTCTTTTCCTTTTTTTTCAGAATCCCTGCTTACTACTGCAGCTTTGACTTTCTCTTCTACTACCTCCTCGTGTAAGGCCTGTGGCTGTTTCTCATGAAGAGAAACGCGTGTTTTTAAATCCTTTCCTTTCGTGTCCGGCTCCCCCTTTTTTGTTGTCCCTTTGCCTACCCTGACTTCTAGGCGGCTCGGCTCTGTGACTTCTGATGGAGCATTTCTCCTGGCCTCTTCAATTTCTTCATCACTGACAATGATCCATTCTTCTTCTAAGGGTTCTTGTCTGGAAAGGGACTTCTGCAAAACATGTTCTTCCCTGGTGTAGGATCCACCTCTCAGAATTTCATTTACTTTTTCTAAGTCCTCTTTCACTCTTTCAACTATCTCAAAAGGTTCTCCTGGCTCTTCTTCAGCGGACTTTTCAAGATCTTTCACTTTAATGGAGCCTGATTTATCAGAAGGGTCAGTTGTCAGGATGGCAGTCATTTTGATCAGATCTTGTTTCATCTCAGAAACTTCAGACAACAGGTCTGGACTGGCTAGTACAGGGACTTCATTAACCAGATGGCTTTTCAGGACAGATGTTTCTGTAGATTCTGTCTCGTCATCTTTGATGCGAATGAAAAACATTGAAAGTAAAATGGAAATCAAAAATAGAGATTGGAAAATGCAATCAGGACTGAAAATGACAGTCTTTGGCTGTAGTGGTAGGAAGGTCAACAAAATGGGCCGGGAATGGTGGATCCACAAGATCTGAGGGTACAAGAGCAAAGCAAAGCTAACAGGGGGTGGGAAAAAAAAAAAACCAACTGAAAAGGAAAATGGCAGGAAATAACTTGCTTCACTTTATCGCTAGAGCACAACCACACATACAGTATCAAAGCTGGAACAAACCAAATCAGGACACCACTAAAAAAAAACCCAAAACAACAACAACAACAAAATTTCAAATCAAAACCAGAAGAAACACAGTGAAGTTACACAAAGAGAGGCATCTCAAGATTGTTCAGATGTTACAGATCAATGTTCAAATAAAAAGAAAAACAAGAAAAAAGGGGGAAAGCATTAGAACTGATTGAAAGTCAATTTCCTCTAAGAGAAAGCCAGTGTTAGCAAACTGTCAGAATAACATCGGGTTAACAGTTTTGTTTTTCTTAATGACCAAAATAAAAAGTGAAAAGTAATTCTGCAGTAATCTAAAATATGATCAAATACGTAGAGATCTGAATCAGCTGCAAACCGGCATTTCATCTAAGGGGATTTCACACCTACACAATGAAACAAACAGGCTTTTGTTTTAAGAGGCATGGTCCTTTCCTTGGAACATCCTCATTGACAACTAATGAACTGACTGAGGAAAGAGAAGACAGAGAAGAAAAGGAGAGATAATAAGAAAAAACTGTGAATCAACTTAGAAGTGATTTCAGAGTTTTAAAAATGTAATGTATGGCAACCCAAAGTCACAGACAGTCACACTAGACACATACGTACAATTCATGTAAGGCAAGTTATTTCCATGCAAAGCAAAGGTGTTGCAAATGCTGCTGGGTATGTAGCTTTGGTTAAAAACAAGAGCTCTAAAAATTATTCATATAAATTAAAGGTACATGAAAACACTGTAAAACATACTGTGGTGAAATATTTGTCTAATCTGGCAATCAATATACAGGATGGTGGCTGCACATAATTCCCATTATGCCATAACTGCCTGCCGGTAATATTTCATTTCAGCGAGGACTAGCAGAAAATGGATATTGAACAGAACAAAACACTGGAGAACTGAAGCAAGTTACAAACAGAACACAACGCTTAGGAATCACAGATGGACATTTTTCCTTTCAAGGTAGCACGTCACGTGGAACCGCACATTTTGGCACCCCAGTGAAAGTCAAAGAACTAATGCAAATATGGAGACCTTAAGCAACACATAATTAACTTATTTGTAAAAAAAGATCAATTTTTTGCAACGCTGTTCTCCTGGGTGTAAGGAATGCTAAATACTTGTGCTGTACATTAATTAAAGCCAGATTGTTGCAGGGTATTGTGGTGCTGAAAATGTGGTTTTTTGGTGCTGCTGCTTTACAATGAACTGTCTGGTGCACGCTGAAATGCCAGCCAGTAATTTTGTAAATTTGTAATATGTACTTTCATAAATATCAAATGTATGACTTTCACTGGCCAATAACTGAGTTAGTCAGCCTGAAGCAAAACAACTCCAGTGGGAAATAAATTGGAAGTGCTATCCAGACAGTGTGTGGCTGGAGCAGGAACACTCTCTAGGGTTCTCTGGGGCACTCAGCAGTGAGAAAGCGGCAGGACGACAATACAAGACGTTGCACTTTAACTGCAGACAAGGCGAGATGTTGCACTCCAAACTGGAAACACAACAGATGTCATTCTTTTCCTGAACAGATCCAAGAAAAGGCTGCATTTGGAAGCAGCTCTCATTAGGGACACTTGCATGTGTGCAGAGATTAGTTTGATTTGCCTCTCCCGTAAAGGAGACATTTGTGAACCCCTTGCCCGCAGTCTCTCATGGTCATGGCTTGATTGTGCATTTACAGGGGGTGTTTGTGCTGTGCCAAGCCCTCAGGTCAGATTTCCAGCCATATTTCACCACAGTAAAGGGTGGGGCAAGGGAGGGAGGGTTAAACAGCCTGATTCCTTTGGACAGTATCACTTTTTGGCATGGTTGTATTCCATGAGATTAATGAAATATATTGGAGTCCTCATTAGGTTTTCATTAAAAGTGATACTGTCATCTGTCTCAAATATGAGGCAAGAATGTGTGTCAACAAATGGAGAAAACAAAAGAAATGGAGGGATGAGCATTCATACAAGCAAAATAGCAATAGCAGGTTCACTAGGGATGTCAAAGGAAAGTAAAGGCTTAGATGAACGGTTTTTAACTGTATTACTTGTTAATTTACATGTTAAAGTGTATTGAATTGGATAGCTGCTGAGATATTAAACTGGTTTTTATTACATTTTTTAAGTATTGACGTTATTAGCAATAGCAGTTAAAACTTAGCTCTCTTTCATGCTTATCTTTACTCTTAACCATCTCTCATACAAATTGCATTATAACAGTCTCAAGAAAAAGAAGAAAATCTTACTTTTTTCTGAAGTCATATCAACCTGGAAGAGGAAAAAGCAGGAGATTTAAAAGTTCAAATATAACTGCTACACAGAAGCCATGGGTGAAGTGTTAGTTGTATGGAGACACACGGACTTAAATGGAACCAAGAGTTCATTTAAAATAACAGTAAAAGCATGGCTTAATTTATTTAGGGTCTCCACCACCAGAATAATGCTTACTTCACTATAGTTATGATGTAGATTGTAGATTCAAAATATTGCAGTGTATTTTCTTTAAATGCTCTTTAGCAAGTCTGGAGGACCTAAACTTTTGCATTACCAGGTGCTTGGTTGCATTGCTCTCAATTTATTTCTTCCTCTCTAACACAAAATAGTCCAATATGGTTATGTGAAGGCATGTGGTCCATCTGGAAGGCAACCAGGAGGTTTCATCCATTGTGTTTCCTTGGACACGTTCATTCTGAGAGCATCAATCACATTTCTGCCTCTGTGCTCAGTGATGGTGAAATGCAGGTGCAACAATGAAGGCAGAACTGCCCAAGGCATGACCTAGGGCTGGATGCCACTAATAGCTGTTGATACCTTTAAATGGAAGCTGTGGTGACCCTCACAGGCACCCTTTTTGATTTTTCAGAGTTATTTGGGTACAGATCAAAGAAAGCCATACAATTTTACTGTTATTCAAAAGAAAACACAGTCCTTGTCAAAAAAGAATTAAACAAAACACCATCTCAGACCACGAAAATTCAAGAAGCAAATTTTTGAGGTTGCTTTGTAATTTCAGTTTATTTCAGTTCTGCTAGCATTTGTCCACACCAGCACATGTTGCTTAAGTCTGGCTGTGGAAAAATATGCAAAGTTGCAAGTAGCATTAAAGCTCTAATTTCCTATACAAACTTGTGGTGGGGGTAGGACAACTGTGAAGAACGCAAATCAGCTGTGCAGTACTGCTGGTACAAGATACTGTGTATGGTAAAGCCCCCAAGGTTTTAGTGAGTGCTGAAAAGGTTTAAATAGCTCAAACTGTTATTTATAAAGATAAATGCAATATGCAGTCTCAGTCAAGATGTAGGAAATCCGTGCCTTTCCACGAGCTGACAGTGACAGAAGGAAATCCCTGGCCACATGTGCATGTTTGTACATGCCTGGCAATCCTTCAGGTTCACATAATTACACCTCACAGTCGACAGTGTGTGCAACAGATGCGTAATAGCCCGAATTCCTCTGATGCACACATTGCCCTGCATGGTAACCCTGCATCCCTAGGATGTTCTAGCTTCCCTCACTTTCAGTTTTTCCACATCAGTCCAAATTTATGTCAGCATAGGAATTAATATTACTAACATAAAAATTCATCAAGTCAATAAAAAATATTTTAAAATGCTTATAACTATCAATTGAGCTTGTCTTTTTGTGCTTTAGTTTCCCATACAAAAACAGAGGTCATATTTACCGTAGGAGTGGTAAGTATTCTTGCAATGATAATAGGAAACCGCATGCCAAGCCACAGACCTGCTGAATCTGTCATGCAGGGCATGGAAAAGATGTGCATCATCTTTGGGAACTGGCTGTTCTCACAGTGTTTCCAACAGCTGAACATCATCAGAATGTGAGGACACTTCTCTAATGTTACTCCTTTGTGTAGAGGTCAGACCTGAAGTAACATAAGTGCCAGACCAGGGCTGGGAGCTCTGGGGGGAGCTGATACAATTTAGTTTATGCTAAAGGTGAAAATTCTAAACTTTTTATTTGTTAACTTCTGGGTTAACACTGATTCTGTACTGGATGTCAGTCACCCAGCCCAGTAACCTGTAACATCCAGTCTACTGGATGTTAGAAATGGAGAAGTCTGGTCACTTTAGCATGGGGGAAGTTGAACTCTGTCTGTTCCCAAAGTCAGTCTGTGCAAAGCCCTTGGTGCTGTGCTTGTAGCACTGAGCTAAGGATCAGTTCTGAGTTGTGTCTGTTAATTGTGTTTGAGTAACGTGTGCAGGCAAGAGCACGCTGATTTAGCAACATTTACCTCTTCTGGTTCTGGATCTGAATCTGATTCCTTTTGGTCCCAAAGTGCCATGCAAAAAGAGAATGGGGAAACAGAGCAGGCAAAAGGCAATTTTTAGAAGAGAGTAGGAAAAAGTTAACTTCCCACAACATTTAACAGAAAAGAAAAAAACGCAGCACATTCCTGCAGTTGATTTCTTACATCCAAAAGCAGCAAAACTAAACACAAAAGGCTACAGAACTGAGCAAAATACAAACAGAAAAGTTAGACATCTAGTGATCCTTATTTATACAAAACCTTTAAATATATAGGTGCTTTTTCACCCATAAATTAGCATATATAAAGACTTAAAATGTTCAAGAACTATTACCATTTAAAGTCACAAAATGCTGAGATGCTCTGTTTTAAAATCATACTAAAATGCTATAATAAAGATTAACTATATTCTAAAAAAAGCTGAGAAGAAAATGATCACCATTTTGGGCAAATACATCCCTAAAAGGCACACGGCTTCTCATCTGACCAGGAAAGAAAAATAACTTGTGTTTTCAGAGAATAAATGAAAACTGACACTTTCTAAGGAATGAAATGTTTAATATCTGAGGACACTCCCCTTCATCTCTTCTGAGTCCTCAGGAAATACCTGATGATGTCTTCAAACACTGGCATTAAGAGTACCAAACCCAAGACACTGAAACCCCTTGCATGGAATTTTTTCCTCTTTCAAGCCCCTGCCCCCAAAGCTTTAATCCTGTTTTGCCCTCCCCCTCATTTCTTGTTTGTATGATAACGCTGATGCCTGCAGCAGGGTATCATTTCACAGTACCTTTGTGTAAATGGGTAAAGTGATGTTTAAATTACATATGGCTTGATGAACGAGGCCTCTGGTAGACTTTGGCTCCTTCATGAATGATAATCGTCCGCAGGGCTCTTGAGTGCTATCTCGGACCTGGCACAGTAAAAATACACACATTTAGCCTGCTGCTCTGCTGTGTGAGCTACTTGTGTCTCTCAAAACTAGTCAGCAGGAGGGACCAGATGGGGAGAAAAAGTCCATGCAGGCAAAAATAATGTGTTTTCACTTCTCCTCCCCTGCTGTTTGTAAATGTATATACAGATGTATTTGTGCATTCAATATATGCTGAATGTTGTTGGTGGAAAATTCAGCAGGGGGGAATATCTGCAAAGCCAAGGGAAGGCAGTGGCACAGATGAAGTTGTAAATTAAAACAAGCTTACCAAATATTGCTGGTAAGGGAGGGAGAAAGTTTAAAGTTTGTCTAGCAGCACACAGCAAGTATAACACGATGGAGCGGGTTCATTTTCTCCACTCACTGCAAGTTCCCATTCATAAATCATTTCTCTAGGGCTGTTATTTATATAACAGCAATAGTTTCCTCCTTTGTAGTCAGAATGTCAGGGTAGAAGGAAAAGCTTGTGGAAGAGGTTTCCAGTGCTCTCTAGCCTGCCTCTCAGAAGAGGTGGTGATGGTGGCTCGGTGACAGCAGCACTTCTGACCACAGCGGGTTAATGCATTACTTAATTTGAGAGGAATCAAGGTTTTTCACTTTGGCTTTCATTTTACACATCTTCCTACTCATAAAAAAAATGCTTTTTAAATGGAATAGTACAGGGATAAAATTAGGTTTCTGTTTGGAACTGACATAAATTAAGTCGTTTGGTTTTCCTTTGTTCACAAAACATATGGTAAAGAGATAACTTGAAATATCCAAAAAGGAGCCATCAACATTACCTTCACAAACAGAGGAAGTCTGTTTTCTTTGAAGGCAAAGAAACTGAATATATGGTGCTGCCCACTCTTTGTGAGTGGCACCAAATTGCCAAAGCAGTCAACATAGATGGGTTTTCCTTCTAATACCTGTTGGAAAGGAAAAAAAGAAAACCATCAATTTATTATTGTGAGGTGATTAGGATTGCTTCTTAAGGATAGTTCTACAACAGTTCAAAATCAGTTTCTGGAATTGTTAGGACTTGTCCTAAAAATTTACAGGATTTGTTAAGTTCAGTGACCTAAAATGTTTGGAAACATTTCAGATTATTAAATTCCAAAGAGAATAGACTGTTAATTTAGTAACAATAGTGCAGTACTTTAAATGACAGCAGTATATGACTTAGTGTCATAAATCTGGGCAAACTTTTACATCTAGATTTTAATTTGGATTTTTGATTGACTCCAATTTTAGCACACTTCGTTAACCTGCCCTCACCACCACAGTCAAAGAAATATATTCTTCAGCCATCAGAATTCAGAGTGTGTGCCTACTGAGTCCATTTATTTCAGATGGATCTGTAGAGGCCTCAGGTAAATATCCCTGTGAAATCTCTCTACAATACAGCTTGTATCTTCAGATTGCTGCTGTTATGGCCCCTCCACATGTCTGAGTATCAGATCAGCAGTTTGGGAGATGTTTCATCCAAAGTGCCAATCTGTTCATGGTTCATGCTCACTTTCCAGAAATTCAGCCTTGTCATTCAGTTTGATAAGCCCATATTTTATCTTGCACAAGAGATGCCTGTCAGAGCTTCAGGAGCAGCGAGGACAAATCTTTTAAAGGTGGGATTCTCATGGAAAAGAGACTGAACTAAGCAGAACGTGCCACATAAGTTAAAGCACCTTCAATTTGTCATCCCTTCTGAGGAAGCTGACAGAGCCAGAAAAACTGCATTTAGCAGGCAGTTTGGTGAATTCCGCATAGGAAAGCTTTTGCCTGCTCAGCAAAACAAATTTCATGCCATTTTATTTTTTTAAAGCAGAATATTAATCAAACCTGCTACTTTAACTTCTTGGTATGTGAATGTGCTGACCCCTGTCAGTTGCCTTTTTGGTTGGTGATGTGCATTTATGGGGTTACTGGAAGATGGGATTTAGCCATCATTTTAGGCCCCAACCCTCTCCCTTTAGCCCTATGGACTGAGTTTGTCAGTGCCCCTCTGGGAACAGGGTTTCCTCACTACTTTCTCCTTACACCTGACTCAAGTCCAAGTTTCCATCCTATTGTAGCTGCTGATACTGTGTTGTGACAGCAGCTGTTGACAGATTATTTTTCAGACATTAAAAAGCAGAGAAAACTTAAATTCTTGTACAGTACCTCTACATCCCTGCTTCTGGCAACTTCAGCAAAGTTTTCTTGTTGTTCTAGAGTTTTATCCACCTTGTCATCCGTCATGCAGAAACATCTTAACCGTGCTTCAATGGGATCATGGGATTTGGCAAACACCACAAATTTGGCCATGTAGGGGACACAGATAATTTCTCTGTACACTTGGGAAGCAAAAGTAACAGATTCTTGTGTCTGACGACAGTCTATCAACCAAAATCTGTAAAAGAAAATGAAGAGTTGTGCCAACAGCAGAGAGGTATTTAAGAAAGGAAATTCTATTTTTCCCCATCCTGGCAGCATTAGCTGGTAACCACAGCAATGGGAGATAACAAGGCAGAATAGAGTAGAAAAAGAACTGTCACTCTTGTTTTTTGTCTCCCACCCAACTTAAAGGAAATAGCAGTCAATTCCTTACATACAACAGCAAAACCTGAGGTCTTTAGGTGAACGTGAATGACTTTGTCCACTGCGCAAAGCTGCATGCAAAATCAGAAATTATTCCTATGTGAATTTAGTCACCAGGCACTTTCCTAAGAGTAACACATCCTGCCTTCTTTCCCAGCTACCACTTGAGTTTCTCTGTGGAGTTGAAGCCATTTCTTTTCAATAAAACCTACTGTGTGGGTGGAAAGCTTGAGTTTCCCAGCCAGCAGATGAAGGCGGAAGTCAGGAAAGGTCAGAGGCAGCTCAAAAGCTGCTCTGATCTATAGGGGTGTTACTCCTCGTGGCGGCTTACACTATAACCCCAAAGCACACCTTTGGAGTGTGACTGCTCTGCACCTGCACAAATGCAGCAGAATAACAGCCAATTCCACGCTGTGCTCATCTTTAGAATGTTTAACAAACGCACTGCTCAAAGCCCCCGGCTGCTGACACTCGCAAGAGGGAAGGCATGTGTGCGACAGAAAGGCTCTGCAAGCTGATCCTCTCCTTTTCCTGCGTGGGAGAATTATGCTGTGCTGGTCTCCAACTGGAGAGGCCACATCCTCTGAGAAACCACCAGATGCCTCAGTGATTTGCTGTCAAACACCAGTGGCTAAAAGGCCCCAACAGACATTAAGTCTTTTAAAAGCTGCAGTTCAGGAAATGGAAAACAAACAGAGTGCCTCCAAGTCTGCAGTGTAATTCACATGGCAAATGTATCTCTTTCCCAAGCTCATTTTGGACAGAATTAGTTTTACGAATGGTAAAATTGTTGCCCATCATTAATGCTGAACTAGACATAAAAAAATTACTGTAAGTAGCAAAGAGCCAGAAATTAGGTGAAAAATCCAGTTTTTTTAACTGTACATCATGTTTGTGGCAAAGTAGATAGCTTTGAACATACATTGACATTAAAAAGAAGAGGCAGAACCCATTAAAATCTCTAGATGGAACCCTGCCTCAATCACAGAATATTAATAAAAGTAACCAGTTTTCATGCCATCATTAGGATTAAGAAAGATCCACCAAAAATACGGGTTGCAGCACCATAAATTGTCTCCCTCGTTCTGGCTATCATGTGTGACTACCCAGTCCCCTGCTGCTGGGGACTTGAAAATTTTAGGGATTTGGACCTCTCAAACTCTGCATCTTGTTTCCACAAGTGCCTCTTAAATTAGCCTTCCACTCCTGCCTCCAGCTCTGCAGCAGCAGCACTGAGCAGAACGCACTGCAAGATCCCCCTCTCGTGGCCACCGCTGCTACAGGGCAATGTTCAGCGGCACCAAACAGAAACGTGCGTCAGCAAAGCAGCCAGCTGAAGGGGAAAACAGCCCCGTTCTGAACTGAGAAAGGATAAAATAAATAATGCTTTATCTCACCTAATGTTAAACTGGAGGTTGGACTGCAAGAGCTGACCTCGTTTTAACACTGAATACGCTATTTCGATAAATAACAAACTGAATTAACGGCAATAGCTGCCCCAGACATTGAATGTTTGCACTGAATTTCATGGGCAAGTTACCCATGATTTTTTTTAAGTGTTTGCTGGAGGACACAGGCTAGATGGAATATTTCCAGGTCACGGATTGCATCTCCTGTTACAGAGGAGGAGATTTTTGGGCCTTTCTGTGATACGCATCACGGACACAAACTAAAATGCATTCATACATTCATATCTGTTATTCCTTTTTTAAAATGAAAATCTGTTTTCAATAAGACAGCAGTTAAATCTCATCACAAGAACAGATGTACGGAAGAGATGCTTCTAGACCCCAGTCTGGCACACCTACAGGCCCTTTTCTGCCTGACTTCTCAGTTTTGGATATGCCAGAAGTAGTATCTCCTACAAGATGTCTAGTGTGGTACCTAAATAAGGGATTTCTGTTTCCATGTAAATTTTCATAACAATCAATATTTCTGTTCGTTCTACTCGCCAAACTAAAACAGTGTAACAGAAATATTTGTGGAACAAAGTCATGTATTTGAGAGTATTCCTGTATAAGTCCTGTTTGGTTGTGTAGGTACCTGGCAGACACGTTCGTCGTGAAGGAAACACATTCATTAACAAATGTCAGTGGTGTTGTCCCGGTGATGTCTTCCCATTGGGCAGGGGTGGTTCCTCCTGAAATTGCAGAGGATTAAAAGTAAAATGAAAACCAAGCAAAGTCAGCGACATTTTTGCTTCAAAGAAATCCTTATCGTTTTTTAATTGCCGTGAAACAAGTAATAATCCCAGATATGCCTTCTCCTTGGGTCCACTAATGCTAACAGGACCGGATGGGTTTACCCTGAAAAACCCAAATGCACAAATGATTTTCAAATGATGAGCCCTGTGGTACAGGATTTAATTAATTAAATTAAATACTTGCAGCTCATTTGTGTCTCCTAAGGGAGACTGAAGGAGATGTTAATCAGTTCGGAGCCATGGCAAGTTAAGTGTTTAACTCCAGTATTTTCTTCCTAAGCATCCTGCAACTTTAAATCGGTACTACTGCTACTCTGCCAGGCAGAACTATGTTGGTTCTCAAGAAACAAACTTGTTTGTTGTTCCTTGTAAGGAAAATGCAAAAAACCCCACCAAACCCAAAGGATGTGATTAGACACATCTCTTGTTAGTGCACACAACAAATGTTATTTCTGGTATAAATCAATTGTTTGGAAAGTAGCTTATTTTCTCAGCTTCTTGCCCCAGTCAGATTTCCACCCAGCTTCCCCTGGGTGCAATCAGTCCAGCATTTCCAGCCCCTGGGGACTGCCAGTTTCAGGATGCATGTGGAGAGCTCCAGGCCTGGCATCCTACCTGTTATGCTGCATAGTAACCTTAGAGTGGGCGTGTCGCCTCCATAGCCGTTCATGAGCCCATCGCTGGAGGCCTTGGGCACAGGAATCGTCATCGTGATGGGCTTATGGAATTTCCTTCTCCTGGGCTCCAACGTGACTATGGGGCTGAAGGTAGCCTTGTTGCCCAAAATCTTCTTTGTAAGTTCAGTGTGCATAGGCTGAGCCTTTCCAAAGCAAGAGGAAATAACAGAGCAGTTACTTGAAAACAGTTTAATGCCATGTAAAGAACTGGGTCTGTATATTGCCTGCAAACCCCTTAAGCTTTCAAATGGCACAATTTCCCATGAAAATCTGCAGACAGAAGAACTGACTGCCAGTGAGAAGGGGAGACCTCACTTTTTCAACTTTGCCATGCCTGCCTCTTCTTCCTATCCCCTTTCTTGCTGCCTATGAGATTTTTACAGCATCAATTTAAATTCACTTAACCAGTAGCTAGCTAACGATAACCTGGTCACTTTTTCCCCCGAGAACAAACTCTGGCTGTTTTGCAGTGCTATTCAGCAAATCCCAGGAGATTTCAACAAGCTCAGTCTCCCGGACAAGGTAAATCATGGATGCATGCAGCAGGAGGACAGGATGAGACCAGAGAAGACTTCCCTTTCTGCAGGAAGTGAATTGTTACACCGGTTCAGTCACACTGAAAATCTGTACATTTAGTAGTAGTAGCACGGTTAATTATTGCAGCACTTTGTACTTCTCTGATGCCTTTCATAAGAAGTATTTGGGAAATTCTATGACTCATATCGGCATCATCACCAACATTTCTTCCCGAAGTTATAGAGAGAGTTAACAGAAGTAAATGGAAAACCCAAAACTTTACCACTTGCTTTAACTTTTGAACGGATTTTTTTCTTTTATTGCTCTTTTCTAGAAGCGCTGTAGCCAACATACAACACGACAAGCTGGACACGCTGGTTCTCCGTTCCAAAAAGGAGATTTGTCACCAATAACAAAAGCAGAACTCTGTGAATGCTGTGCTGTACCTGGAGGCCAACGCGAATTCTCTTGGTGAGTGCCCCTTCTGGGAAGACTGCCTGCACCTGTGGGACCACGGTGCTGCTCAGCACCCCTCCCTCGGGCCCGATGAGGTTGCTGTCCTGTTTGATCCGGGACACCACTGCGAAGTACTGAGGGAAATCCCGGGTGATGATGCGACAGATCCGCTTCTTCTCAAGCTCCTCTGGAGTGTCAAGTACTGAGGGCAGAAGAGGGGAGGGATGGTCAGAAGACCAGAGTTTCATAGAAACACTACAGCCACCTTCAAAATGCACTCAAGCTTTCCACAGTGTTGCGCAAGTTACACGAAGTACTTTGTCTAGAAATAAGGGGAAAAGGAAACACACGCCTGTGTTCAGCTCAACCAGGGCACTCAAGACAGAATAGACAGACAGATTGAGCCGTGAATTGAAGGCAGCAAACAGAACAAACTGACACCTCCAAGATCAGCAGCCAAACAAGCCAAGGGATTGGTTCCAGCCCCTTCTCCCTCACCTATTTACAGTGTCCTACGAAACAAAATTTCAAAACAGTATCAAAACATGAGTTTGGCTTTAAGGCTGTGAGTTGTCTTGTTTACTTTGGGATTTGTGAGGTTTTTTTGAAAAAAACCCACAAATTAATAACAACTTCTGCAGCTTCTAGACAGCCCGAGGCCATTCTGTTCTCTCAGAAAGCAAGAGTACCCATGACTGACATTTCCTCCCACACACGGAGCTGCTCCGAAAGGATCAGTGTGGTAATTGCCTTGTTTTGGAAAGATGTTTGCTATGGAAGCTTTTTGTTTAACACCACGAGAAGGAACAGGAGAAAACACACGTCTGGGCTCTACTGTCACCTTCGCCAAGGGGAGACATCCTGTCCCACTGCTTCAGCAGCCCATGCAAAGGAAGTGAGCGCCATGGCAAGAGCCGCTACCCTCAGGGTACAGAAGGAACACAGGAGCAGGATAAGAAACCAAGTGCCACCGGATACCTTCATCCATCCCATTCAGGATTTCGTTCAGTTCATCCTCAGTGTACTCGCAGAAATGCTCCTTCCAGCTGTCCCCGTTCTCGCTGCGCAGGATCACCAGCTCTCTCTCCTTCCCGCGCAGGGCGGCAAAATGGGGAATCTCCACAATCACGGGCCTGGCACAGCAACACAGCGCATTAAATGCACACGGGAGAGAGGAAGAAACAGGATTAACAGCAACTCTATTCAGTCTGCTACAAAGTGACCTGGAATTCTACCTATTTGGCTGGAATGCTTTGGCATTGTCCTAAACTAGCAGGCCACTAACACAGACTAGATTGTTACAGGGACCCAGTAAGTGCTGAAGGACAGATGAAAAAGTGCATTCACCTTTTTCCACAGTGTGAATGAGATTTGGTAAGATAACAGTGCTTATCTGGAAATTTGGTGATTGTTTTTGCAAATCCATCAAAAACTCATGCTCATTTTAGTTGTCACTACTGTCTGGGTTAACCTGTGCAACTTCATTTCAAAGAGAATCTACTGTAACGTATAGGAATAGAGGGACAAATTCTGATCTCACTTATACTAGTGCAAATCAGAATAATTTCATTGCAATCTGGAGGCGAGGGTGTCCCGTGCCAATTTAACTTTGTAATTCTATACATTCCAATGAATTTATTCCTGATTTACACCCTGGGAGAGATACAGGAAGTCTGAGGAGATTGTCTGGGTTACTATTGCAGTATAAGAGATAAGAATTTGCCTTGTTGCTTTGCAAGTCAACATCTGCACCAGCATATGCGCCCATATATATATAGATATATATATACACACACACATATACAACACATATGTGTACATATATCTGTAGTGAGATATACATATACATACATAGTCTTAGAAATAGGAGAGAAGATATAAAGATATTTGTAGGTTACACTTCTCTAATTAGAGGACTCACACAGGTCACCAGGTATGTAGTAAATGCCATGTGTTCTATCACACTGGTGGTACCCAACATATAACTTATTGATTGATCGCTCCTTGATACAAAAAGAACAGTTTAAAATTTACAGTAGATTCTTTTTTCTTTTTTTTTTCTTTTTTTTTTTTTTTGTGGTCCCAATCCAGGTTGCTTTGCTACAGACATCAAGCACAGAACTAGGAAGATTTCATGCCAAAACAAAAATGAAGGCCACAGTACTTGAAGAAAAAGATACAAACATACCACCAAAACAAAACCACAAACCACAAAGGTTGAAAAATGGTCCACTAAAGGTTAAGAGTACAAAATTTCAAATGATAGAAAAGGACGATATCATGGGCATAATGACATAAAAAAATCATATTGCAGAAGGAGGAGAAGAATGGGGAGGTCAGCATCCATCAATTTGTTTCAAGTCTCTCCTACCCAAGGAATTTGGTCCCAGGAGGCCCCAGCTGAAGGATTCGGCTGACCAAGCTTTCTCCCTCATTAAGTGGGGGAGGAGCCGTAGGCAGATGAAGTTTACTGAGTACATCCAAAGCAGCAGTGAAAGAAAGAACATAAATAAACTTTATGTATTTTTTGTGCCAGAACGCCAGTGCCACTGTCTGGTCCACAGAGTGGAATTAGGCTGTACACTGAATAAGGTTCCGTCCTAGCCGTGACAATTTGGTGACCCAAATCAGAAAATTCGTTTTGTTCATTTAGGATCTTTTCTTTCTTAGGGGGTGGGGTTTGGCTGCGTCCTGAATGGGAGCAGGATCTGGACCTCAGAATGCACCCCTGCAAACAGTACAGTGATTTTCTGATCTCGCTGCCAGCACAACACCTTGGAAAACGCTTCCAGGAAGGGCACAAAGATCTGAGAGTGAATAAACTACACTATATGCTTGTCTTGCAGGGGAGACACTCTCATCAGATAGGAAAACCATTAAAAAAGAATGGGAGACATACTTAAAATCCATTTGTGAGTGACAAAGATAATGGGAAGACTGAATGTGACAGCACAGTATTTCTTCTGCTCTTTAGATTTCTTTCTCCTTCTTTTTAGAAATGACCAAGATGTGAAAAGAATAAGTGGTAGCACTAACAAAGATGGTGGCTCTGATGACTGCCTGTTGTAACAGGATTTTAAAGCAACTGAGTTGTTTCCAAATGGATCTAAATTATTGGTGTATACAGCCACTTTTTTTACAGTTTCTGAATGAAGTTAATTTACTGCATTTAGAAGGGGTTCCTTCCATCATCCACTTTTGGATGTCACAGTTTTTAGGGAGAATAGTTGGTAAAACTAATTTTCACAAGTGCAGATAGCTGCTGCTTTCAGCTGAAAATTGCTAAAATGAGCTCAGTAGCAGACACAGATCTGATCTTGCTATGGGCTTCGCAGCACAGGAAGAGAGAAATGGCCAAAAAAAAATCCAGAGTTGTCCTATTGTTTAATTTAGCAATTTCAGCCCCAGAAAAATCAACAGCACTGTGCATCCCCGACATTCCAATTTACTGATACCATAACACAGGACCTTTAAATAAGCTCCTGTTACCTTGTGTTGTGTAGGTAGCAGGCTTCACATTTGGGGGGTTTGATCAGTGCAGTACCATTAATTTTTTTGATAGAGCGTGAACTGCCTTTTCTGGCTGCAAAATTCTTTTCCCACTGTAATATCACAACACCGAGCAACAATAATAATATCCAAGGAAGCACATTAATCGCAGCGCTGATGTTTGAAACAGCTGTTTTGAACAAGAAGGTGTAAAAGCTTTGCGAATCGTTCCCTGCCAGCTGCTCTGAGTTTCTCACGACTTCCCCGTTTGTTAAGCACACGCTACAGAGATCCTTCTCAGCTCAGTTTTGCCAAAGGAACCATTTCAGTGCAACGCAAACACAACAACAGGCTGAAGGTTTCCCTTCGGGCCACGCGGCCCCCCTTACCCAAGGAACTGAGCCCCAGAGGGTCCCACTTCGATGAGGCGGCTGGCCAGCCCTTCTCCCTCCACCATGGGCGGCATGGTGGCCAGCCTGTGGCGCTTCACCAGGCGGCACGTCACGCGTGTCGGCGCCGTGCACTTGCGCGGGGGGATGATGATGCGCAGCCCGTTGTGCCGGCAGCCCCGCATGGCGCCGCCGCGAGCGTCCACCATGAAACTCACCAGGAAGCTGCAAAATCAGGGCAGACAGTGAGATCCAGAGCACCGACTCCCTCGGTTATGTTCCACATACGTACAAACGACGTATGCAAGTAGAGCTCTCGCTCAAGAGGTACAATGAGAAAAAGCCTTTCTCCCGTGTCAAGCACCAAATCATGCTGAGTTCATTTTTAATTCAACTGGCAACTGCTACCCAATAGTTCTTCGCAGAAAATCTTATGTCACGGGGCCGCTGTTGGTAAAATACCAGCAGACTGTGGTCTGTACCTATGGCAAATGCAGCTATCGCTACTCTATACCTGCAAGCAGCCGTATTTAAAGCTGGCACTCTTTAAATACTTCACGAGCAAATACATCTTATTGAAAAAAATTATTTATGATTCAAAAATATACAGCCAATTTTGATTGGATGGCTCAGGGTTTTTAGTTTTTTGGGTTTTTCTTTTAGATTCTCAATAGTAGTTCTCAATAATTTTCTAGTTATTTGATAAACTATAATTTCTTAGAGAAATTAAAAAATCAAATTTCATTCTGGGATTAATGAATACAATTCATACTCCATCAGTGGGGTTATCACCTATTTATATTAAAAACCCCAGTGTGTCATTTGAAGGCAAATTTGGGGGTTTGGTGAGATGAGAAGAGCTAGAGTCACTATAGAAAAGGTTTTTTTACAGATTTTGGGTTTTCTGTGATACAATGTCTGGCTGGAAAACTTAGACATGTAAGAAGCCATCTACAGGGAGCCAACTTCTAGCACAAGGTCAATTGTTCATTCCTTTTTCTCTAAAAAGGAGAAAAACATGTCATTTTGTTTGGAATTTCTCTTGTGCTGATTTTTTTTGTAGTTCCACATATACCAACACGTGGATTTTTACAGACTGGGGATGTTCTTGGGAAAGTACTAGAACTACTTCCAATTTATTTTTTACTGTTTGATTACAGGATCATGCCTGATGTGGGACGGTAATGTCAGGTTGCTGGAAGTGAAAATAAGAGGAGATGAGACAGAAGGGTGTCAGGCCTACTTCTAGCCACTAATATAGAACCAGCACAATGGGGAGTCGCAGAAATGCTACTGAAGGACCTGCAATAGAGAAAAGCCCTTATAACAGGAGTAACAAACACAGGGATTTTTCCACTGCCCCCTTGACCGTTCTGTGCAACAAACATTGCATCCATTCATTGTCCACACAGCTACAAGAATTCCACATGCTGTAAAAACACAACACTCGACACACCGTGCAGGTCAGAGATGGACGATGGGAAGGAGCCACAAGCGCCAGTCGGAAGCACACCATGCACCACGGATGCCAGTCTGTCTCACACATGCAGGCTCCTAGTCTACTGCCATTCAGATACCTCTAGGATTTGCTTAGGGTAAAACTCTGGGCAGTACAACCATTAGCTCATTCCTTAGAGGTTGGTGTTTCTGTGGTTTTAACAAGGGGGAAAAAAAGAAAATGAAAACATTTTACAGCTTTGATTGTCTGGGGATTTGTTGAGAAAAATGGGAGCTTCCTTCACAAAATACATTATTTGTACATATTAGAGCACAGATGAAAGAAGAGCTTAAGAAACTCTAAATGCTCAATTGCTGCACTAATGCTCTTGGCTTGTGCTGCAATTGCCCCTGAAGCTCATGAAGTAGTGCTATCAAAACGGTTCTGCGTGATGTTTCAGAGAATGTGTCCAAGTCTCCAGTACAATGGGTGTGTTGGAGGCAGTCAGTGACACTGCTGGAAGAAGAGTTCCTCATTTTAAGACTAACACAAACACTCCCCCCACAACTCCCAGAAGCTAATGAGAGCTCTGACTGAATTAAAGCAGCATTCACATTTCTCATTGTGCGAGCTGTCATGAACGCAATATTTAGGATTCAGTTATTTTCATTACTGATGTAATACTCAGGATTGTATGCTTTAACACCAGGATCACTTTTTTTTTTGCTGTCCATCACTAAAATATTACTGCTGGGTCACCTGCTGCCCCACGTTCTCCTTAGCTTATCTCCCTACTTGTCCCTGCAATGCCAAACCCGCTGTTCACTGCCAGAACACATACACTCCAAAGGTGAGGATTCAAATACAGAAAGTAATCTCCTTTCTGGGTTCTTTTTTTGGTATGGTTGCAACTCCTTCTTTCAGTTTGAGCTTACTGAATGTGCCTGGTGGGTCAGTAAATCTATCACCAAGTCTAGCTCACTCCAGCCATCTCTCATTGGAACCACCCACGGCTCCAAGGAGTGGAAAAGCAGACAGAGCTAAGTCTCACTGGGAGGAGAGCACAGAGAAAACAGTGCTAGGATAAAACCAGTGGGTTATTTTAATTATTATTTACTGTAAAAAAAGAGCTGTTTCTATCATAAAGAAGATCTAAAGCTGTTATTTAGACCGCACAGAAGGATTACTGTCAATTATCACATTAACTATGGAGGAGCCAGTACTCATACCCAGCTACAGAGTACTATGGAATTCCTGGAAAAGAGGTTTTGGAGAACTAGCATGAATAGAGTGCAAAGGAAAGAAACTGAAGGGGAAAATGTCTGAGCTTTAGACCTGTAGCATAATCCTGTAAGGACAGAACATCGACACAGGGTTTGCAGACACAGAGTGTAAAAGTACATCCTCTTCCACTACACCACTCTGGTTTTTTCCCACCTTTTTACTACATTCCTTTTTTCATCCACTTACTCAATCCGATTTCTTTTCATCCTTTTTTTTTTTACATCAGTACATTTCACATAATTTTAGCTATGCAAGAGAGTGAAACAAGTATTTCATAAGAAAGCCTTTTCTGCATCACACCAGCCTCTTATTCTGCCTATGTGCTATATAATAGGGCATCTGGATGGGGCCATTGCTGTTCCAAGACTGAAAAAGCTATTCCCTTCTGAAGGAGTGTGTCCATCAATATACAAATAATTTGTACAAAACTAATGCATGACATAAAACATGCTTTCTGAAGCGTGCCTTTAGGAAAGTGAAAAATTTCTATGACTAATATAGAGTAAATGTAAAATTCAAGCTAATTATTTTGCTGCCCACGCACACACACGTTGTTTTTCCTCTTCCACCTCTGTTACCAAGTGTTGTTAAGAGACCAGACTGAGATAGGAAGAGACTGCACTCAACAAACAACACTAGCAGGGATAAATGGCAGATGAAGCCATCGCTCTGGGAAGTGATACCTTATCATGCTAAATTCCCATGGCCAGAAAGAAACTAGAGCATAACACTAGCACATGAATAACCCTAACATCCCATATACTCTCCAAAGCTAAGCAGCAAACTCGGACCTCAGTCCATGTTCCAGCTGCATGGAGCATTACTACAACACTATCAGCCACCTACGTACGGAGAATGAAAGGGAGAGGGATCATTAAACACAAATGGCAGAGAAGAGATCAAGAGGGGAGAAAAAAAAGAAAGGAAAAACCCAGTTAATAAAAGGGATTAAAGGAACTTGAAATTCAATTAAATGATGACTCAAAGTCAAAGCAGATTGCAGGTTAAAGCTGCGTCTTTCTCAGTATTAACACAGCCTTTGAGTAAGTTTCATTTCCAGTTTTAAAGGTTCTGTTAGAAACGAAGCACAACACAAACTTGTGACCCTGGCAGTCTCGCAAACTGGATCAATACTGAGATTTCCTGAGCTTTGGAAAGGTGGTAGAACAATACAGTAGCCAAACTGGAGAAACAAATGAGGTTCAGGGAAATCATTGCCCTCTCTCTTTTAAAGAGAATGAAGGGTAAATCAGAAATAGAAAAAATAAAGTACAAATGCAATTCTCTTAGACTGCAGGGGAATCTATACATGCTTCTGTTAAACACACAGCAGTCAGCTCAACCATCATCCATTCTTTCTCAATTTAGCAATCTCACTAATAAATTACAGAGGCCATTTAATTCTTCTTCCATTTTAGAGCAATTGAGAACTATATTCTTGCCAAATGGAAGATATATCAAAAAACACTGGCTCTAGTGGCCTTGGGGTTGAGTATACACAAAAAAGGCCCCTAAATCCTTCAGGCTGTTTTCACACCTCCTACAGAAAGCAGAGCAAACAGCTCTCAGGGTTTCCACTTGATCAAAACACAGACAAAATATATGCACTGGAAAGAAGAGGCAAAAAGTTGGGGTGTATTTTGATGAAATATTTGTATTTTAGATCTGAGCCTGAGTTACTCCCTTTGCTGATTTTATTCTTATCGAATTAACTCGGCTTTATTCCGTGTCTATCCTCAAGTGAATGATAACAGCAGGATGAACAGAGACACTGGAAACTGGATGTGTCAGTGCTGGAGGGGGTGAAGGAAGCCACTTATTGTGTGCTTTGAGAGGAGTCCCTGCTGTGTCAAGAGGTTCGCGCAGGCAGAGTTTCAGGCGGCCGCGAGCGTGGGGGCACTCATTCTGCAGAGTCGTCGGGAGAGCCATGCAAACCCAGCAGGTGAGGGGGCTTTCTGGGACAGGCAACAGCTCTTGGAACACATGGAACCAAACTAGACAAAGTCTCCACCACCACTTCCATACGCTGGGCTCGGGGACGGTTGCTCTTCCCGAGCAGCTGGGCAGGCACACATGCGCTCGGCAGATAGCAGGGAACAAAGCTCCAACCAGAGCACACCCGGTGTAGACACAGTCAAAAACTTCTCAGCACACATGATCTCAATTTATAAAAGAAACTGGGAAACAAGGAGATAGCAGCATTCAGTGTTAGTCGCAGTGTGAAGAAGCAGAAACAAACAATCGGGGTGCTTCGGCCATCGGAAAGTGTTCAGCGGGAGAAGGAAACCGGAGAGAGGCTGCAACCCAGAAAAAAGGCCTTGATCCAGCTCCCACTGAAGTCAACAGCAAAGTCATTCAACTACCTCAGAGTGCTTTCCAGCAGGCTGCAACTATGCCATCCAGAAACAAGGCAAAATTCACATTCCAGGAGGACAAAAAACATGATCCTAACATAGGAAACCGCTACAATATGAACTTGTGACAGCATTCTCTCCACTGCGTT